TTATATTTAAGAAACAAAGAAAAAAAACTGAATGTCAATATCCAAACTACATCAAATTTTTGGTCGATTGCAATAAACATTCCAGTGTGCGTGGGCGCGCACACATATGTAGATAACACTTGTACGTGTAGTTTCCGCGCATACCATTCTTAAAACCCGCAAAAACAATCCACGCTCCGACCACTCACTTCACCCGCGATGGTCTAACCTAATTGTTGTTAACTTTATTTAAATTTCTTTCTACCCGACAGCGAAAATTATAAAAAAAAATTGTCGAGCAAAATTTTACATTACCAAATTTTTACTAGTTATGAAAAAATAACCCCGTGATTGATAAAATGATAAAAAAAGAAGCCTGAGATTCGAACCGGTAAACTTATTAAACATATTACGGCAAACATACTAGAACACTGCGCCAAACTAGTATATATTGTGACAAGGCAAAATTTGATATTAGTTATTACGTATCTGTCATATTCGGCGTGACAAACTTTTATAATATATTTAAGCGTTATGACAGGAGAAGAAAAATATTGGGTTGCCCAGTAAATTCGTGCCGCTTTATAAGGAAAATTGAAACCCTGTTATCTTAAATTTTTGGAAATGTTTTTAGTTTGTTTTTAGAAGTAGTTTATTCCAAATTGTATCACAAGTATATAGAGATAGAGTTCAATTTTGTCAAATGTACCGATATTTTTGCGCACCTTGACTGCTTCGTTACTTATGACGCTGTGGCTGCTACGATATTTATGAGCATCTTGCATGTACTCATATATTTGACGCTGTGTATGTACCGATGTTTTTGAGCAAGGTGAATGTATCTATTATTTTGAAGACTTTTGTTGTACCGATATAATTGATTACTGTTGATGTACCTATATATTTGCATATCTTGTCTGTGACGATCTATATGACGCTGACTGTACAAGTTTAACAAACATGAGTAATAAACAAATTACATGCCAATAGCATCGCTTTATCTCCTTCATTTTTGTTTGAAATAGAAAAGTACTTTAACGTCAAACTCATTAGTCCAAGGCAATATCAAAAAGTACCTAATAACTACGGCGATAGAATTTAATTACATGTGCTTCGATATTAAAATTAAAAAGTTTAAATATCAAAAAAAAAATAGTGGCTTGGGATTTGAACCGCCGACCTTACGTACCAACGGCGGCGAACGGTAAGGCCACGAGACCAAACTAGCATATATGATGACAAACTTAAATTTGATGTTGGTTTTATCTACCTAATATCTGTCATCCGCGTCGAACACTTTTAGTAAATTTTGAAAAATGGTTTAATGCAAAGTGTCAAATGAATGTAACAGAAGTAGTTTATTCCAAATTGTATCACAAGTATATAGAGATAGAGTTCAATTTTGTCAAATGTACCGATATTTTTGCGCACCTTGACTGCTTCGTTACTTATGACGCTGTGGCTGATACGATATTTATGAGCATCTTGCATGTACTCATATATTTGACGCTGTGTATGTACCGATGTATTTGAGCAGGGTGAATGTATCTATTATTTTGAGGACTTTTGTTGTACCGATATAATTGAATACTTTTGGTGTACCTATATATTTGCATATCTTGTCTGTGACGATCTATATGACGCTGACTGTACCTGTCATATACAATAAAATATAATTTGTACGTGTGTTGTACACTGGTCAACACAGTTCACATGTGAACTTCGCATGATTATTCTGCGCTACCTTTTGTACATAACTTTTTGTATATTTGCGTAACATATAAAAGACAGGCGCGGTAAAAACACAGCGCAGTGCACAATACAACGTCGCTTAACTTGGCTTTAAATTTATTATTAATTAATTTATATTAATTTTAATTTAACAATGGGTGCATCAGTGTATTTTTTGGCGGCTGTTTATTTTGCGACAGGAGTTATGGCGGGAACACTGCGTGAGTTTTTTTTTAATGTCATCATATTATAAGAACATAGCACAGCTAAGCATACATTTAAATAAATTCGTTGTTAAACTAAATGTAAATAAATAATGCTACAGAGAGAGAGAGAGAAGTAAAACTCTTAAATTTTTTATTAATAAAATATAATTGTTTTTTTTTGTTTGTCGTAATGGTTCTTAATTGATTTTCATTAGCAACAGTCAAAATAATGGCTAGATATACATTAACATGGCCAATACAGCAGAATTACCTGTTTAAAAAAAAATTGTTTTTTCAAAACAAATGAGGAGGACGAAACGTTTTATGCTGGTATTTCGGCAGTGAAAACTTACGATATACCCTTAAACAATGTCCAGTTTGAGTTAGCAAATGATACAGTACGTTGTGTTTGTTAAGTACACAAAGATGATACGTTTCGTGTACATAATACTTTAGTTTTAGTTCAAATTATACGTTACGTGAATACATAATGCAAATGTTAAACATACTCCATGCTGACAGAGTAAATAAAAAAACATATAAGCATCAATATTTACTTTACTCTTTGAATGTGTTTTATTAGAAGTCGTAATGAAGTAAGATCGCATACATCGTTATAGAGTACTGAACTTAATTGCTCAAAAATCTAATTCTAATGTTACTAATATTATAAGTGCGAATGTTTGGATAGATAGATGGATGTTTGATATAATATATCACCATAAAAGCTGCATGGATCTCTCGTTGAAATTTGGTATATATGTTATATTGTATGGAAGAACACATACGCTACTAATTATTTTGTTATTACTTGCTAGTACTTGCATATTTAGCATTTTAAATATATTGTAATTGTAAGAAAGCTTACCATCTGGCTATAAGGCTACAAAAATCAATAATGAGTCTTAAGCAATTGTTAAATATTTTAACAAATTATCTTCATATCTTCAGTATATGGATTGTCGAAGTTACTAGTACCCATGGATTGCATTTACTTGTTTCTATGATGCATGTTCATATGTAAATAGAAACATTTAAATACTTCCTTGAGAACATTAGTATGTGCTGAACCATTACTAATTTTTAGATGATTTTAAACACGCAACAGACTTAAATTGCTTCAACTTTCATCAGACATTTTTATAACGAGTACGAGTAAGAGTTGGATATTTTAATTTAAGTTATAAGCTTAGAGAATTGATTAAGAAAACAGGGAAAAGAGTGTGTGGTAATATGTCTTTTTTTAAGGTTCCGTACTTCGAAAGAAAAAAAACGAAACCTTTATAGGATCACTTTGTTTTCAGTCTGTCTGTTTATCAAGACCCTATAACTCAGGAACACGTGGAGGTATCAATCTGGAATTTATTTCACTAATATGATACGTATTATTCATGTCTATTTTAGAGCAATGTACTCATAAATCTTATTATGCAAGTATGTTAAAAGGAAATAGAGGTTACTTATGTAAGGTTGAGAAGTATGTAGGCTCAATGTCATCGCTTCGGCTGCCCTTCCCAACTGATGCCAACTTGTCGTTAAGATGTTTGTTTGAAGATTAACTTAATAAATGTACTTCATGTTATGTGAACTTGGTATGCGATAAACACAATAACTTTAAAGTGTTAAAATCTTATTAATATCTTAAATGCTAATGTTTAGATGGATGGATGGGTGGATGGATGTTTGTTTGAAGGTATCTCCGCAATGACTAAACTTGAAAAAAATTGGCACAGATGTAGAACATATCCTGGTAGAACCCATAGGCTACTTATTAAGGTTTTTTTTAATTCCGCGCGGACGGAGTCGGGTCGACTTCTAGTCCACCATAAATATAACTACATATCCATTATGGGTAGGTTTTGGCACTCATACAGGTCCTTTGTGTGTTAGTCATGAAAATTAAAGCCGTGCATTTATAGTATCGGTTGGTCCATTTTTTAGAAATCTTAAATTCAAATTCTTTCAGTCTTCAATTATGTGTTCAAATTAACGCTACCGTACTAATATAAAGTTAACGGTATTTTGAGTGTGACAACACCGGACAGTACTGGGGCGACATTGCGCAACAGTGTTGACACACCGAAACTTTATTTTGCATTTCAAAATAGTTGGTAATGTTAAGAAGATTTCTTTAAATAACTTAAATTGTTGATCAGTACCAAATGTGGCGAAATTGTATAAAATACTATAATTTATGGAATATTTTAAAGAATGATAGAATATACACCATGTGACTTGGTCTGTAATATATTATAAAAAAAATAATATTAGTAAAATTACGCTATATAAGTATGTTAAGAGTTCAATGTGTGAGCTGCAACATCCCGCGTTGCGGTGCGGAGGAAGACACTTGCAACGCATAAATACAACTGTTCAATGACTATAACGTTGACGAAACTAACACACGGACACACCAACTTATGCAACGCATACAATACACAACGTTTCAAATGACAACATTTTTTAAAATCCTAAAAATAAAGTCCCCCTTTTACTTCCCACCCTTTTCTTATAAGGAATTGATGGAAAGTGGAATTGGATTTGACGGAGGACGGGACGCATAAGAAATGCAATAAACGGGACCCAAATTCTCTTTCTGTACGTCTCCTCCTCCGTCGATTAAAAGTAGGCAAAATCTTTAATCGCGGATGTGTATGGGCAACGGTCGCGTCGCCATTTCGTCAAATTCATGTGGCCGCTTGCTCGTTTTCCATTATTAAAAAAAAACATAGAGTAGCACACAAAATGAATTTTACCTCTGTCGAGATTTGAAACGTAGTACGCTTGTAACATATTACTTTCTTACCGATTTAAAAACTTTTCCTTCCAGCACCTTTCATTAAGCCTTGTTCGATCAAGGATCCAAACCTGAACCAGTGCATAGAGAAGTCCATAGAGCTAGCAGGGCCCAAGTTCGCTGACGGTATCCCGGAGCTGGACATCGCGCCGCTGGACCCCGTACAGCTGGGCACCGTGGTGGTAGACAACCCCGCACTCAAACTTACATTCACTGATACCGTCGTCACTGGCCTCAGGGACTTCAAAGTTAACTCTTACAAGTCTGTATACCTATATTTCTTCTAAGAACTTGTATTAAGTGTACCTTGGTCAATTCTAAATGGGTTACACGATATTACATTATCAAGTAAATTTCCATAAAAACTGTAGGTAAAGACTACCTTTATACACGTATCATTAAATGGACAACAATATTCTCTTCCAGAATTAACACGGATAAAGGAAAAGCGGTGCTCGACTTCACCGCGAACGTTACGCTGAAAGCCAACTACGTGATGGACGGGCAGATACTCATCCTGCCCATCAGGGGCGACGGACAAGCCAAAATCAAGATAAGTGAGTTAACACTTGTACTTCCAAACAAATCTTGACATAATACCGTTTTTATATTTTGAAAGTAGATAGTAACATCAATCTAAAATCTTTCAAGAAATTATTTTTTTGATCCCCGTGATTAATATTTCATCTAGATTAATTTCCTCTATGTAAGAATTACTTGTATTGGTTATGTTATGGAGACAAATAATTCTAGCAAATCTGAACATCGTGATCAAGTACGATTACACGACAACGGATGGTCACTGGGTGGTCTCCGGCTACAAAGACAGCTACAAGATGGACCGAGCACAGTTCAAGTTCACCAACCTTTTCGGCGGGAATAAGGAGCTGGGTAAGGAAACTTCATCTCTATCGAATACAATGTCCAAGCACAAATTAGTAAAGAAAAAACTTTGGAAGTATTAAACCAAAGGACTGGCACAAATCTATGTTCTGTCAAAAAACAGTTATTATAAAAATAAATAACAAACATACAACACAACTACTTACATACAAAGTCTATTTCAGCTGACACTACTCTTAAATTCTTGAACGAAAACTGGAGTACCATAATGTCGGAAATCGCGCCATCAACAATCAAGGAGATCATAAAGAATTGCGTGGAGGAGGTCAAGAAATTGTTCGCAGGCGTCCCCGCTGCGGAGCTTGCACTTCTCTGAATGGTTCGGGATGTTTGCTCAATGCTCAGTCATCAATGCATGAAGAATCATTCCATTCGTTACCTTCTAGAACTTTCGACTTACATTTTAACTGTATTCGAGATTTTTCTCATTTTTCCATCAGCTGGTTTTGTCATTATTTTCAGAACTTCATTTTTCTGCATCATCTGTTTCTTGGAGTCTTGTTCACATTTTTACCAGTCATGGCTTTATTTGTAGATCTATAATCTTTTCAATTAATTTACTACTGATATATTTAAATGGTACTAAAAAATAATTTTATTGTTCTTAAATAGCTACTTTTATTTCTTAATATATTAAATATATTCAAAACTAAAATTGCCCGCGGTTTCGTCCGCGCTGAAGGAAAAAAATTCTAGTAAAAATATGCATAACCTACCTAATAATAAGTATATTGGTAATGTAGCTTTCAGTAACTTTGTAATAGCAAAAGTTTTTTTAATCGGTCTAGTAGTTTTTGAGTTTATTCGTTACATACATACCTCTCCTCTTTATAATATTAGTGTAGATAGATGCATTTTCAGATTCACTCATTTTTATAAACAAACATTTTCATCACATACATGGCATACAGTATCTAACAAAATACATGTATTTTTTAATTGTAAGCATGGGTTTCATAACCACTAAGGTTTTCGTACGAAAATAAACTCGCAGGTCCAGTCAGTGGCACTGTACCTGTTCAATGATTTATTGTTTTTTCCAGCAAACACCATCGGAAATGTGATCAACGCAAACTGGGAGCCCGTCATCCGAGACATCGCGCCCGTCGCATTCCAAAACATCATCGCCGCCTGCGTGAACGAAGCCAAAAAACTCTTTGCCGCCGTTCCCGCCAACCAATTGCTTTTACCTTGAACCATAGACAAAATTGTAGCTGACAACCCTAAGCCCATAGATTATGTTACAAGACTCGATATAAAATTGCATACCACATGCATTATGCAATTTCCAATTTGCAACATAACATGTACGCATTTGTAACTACAAGGGCAAACTGCAATGAATAAAATCGTTGCTCAAATGATATTTAACTCGATTACGCCCTCTTTCGTAAATATCAATTGATTTCACAATTTAACGCAGGTGGTTATAACGAAAGTTGTCAATATGAATCTTGTAATATATTTTTATTTAATAATTTTGTTTCAAATACCTCGTAGTATCTTTGCCAACTGTTATAATTTTGTTTTATCTTCATGTTCTACATAACTCAAAACTCCCAGAATTATGCCTATCCTACATAACAACTAACAAAACTAGTTGCATCACATTGTTTTTTATCTTCAACATTTTATAAAGATTTGTAATATTTGGCATGGGTGTAAGATATAAATAGTTAGGTGAAAGTGATAGTACCATTTAGAATTTTGTGATAATTATAGTTGTAATTTGAATAAATATTTTATTTTTACATAATCTTTCATTTTGTTTATTTACCTTACTTATCACATCATTAAATATATATACCGCATTTATTTTACCATTGAAAGCAAAATATAATCAGAACAACAATCACAGTTTAGATAATCTCATTGTAAAGTAAATTTCAACATCATCATAAAGTTCTTCCTAATTTAAACCACATTTATATGAGTATTTACTTTACTATTTGTTGGCTATAGCCACTCTCCATACCACCCAAAGAAAAAAAAGATGTGACTTTAAAGATGTCAGCATAAATTAAAAGTCAAATAGTAACAATATATGCTTTTTATTTGCAATAAAATGATAACAAAATGTATATGGCAGTTTAAAAAATCCCCAGTTACTCTTAAATGCTAAGTACAATCAAATTGTACAAAATAGTTGTATATTGCTTGTTATACATATTCTTTAGTTAAGTCCTATCGGGGGCACATTGCATGGCGACCACCATCCACTGGTAAGCTGGCTCCGGTGATATTGGAGGCCAAGTCACTTGCAAGGAAAGCAATAGTAGCAGCAACCTCCTCTGGCTTCCCTGGACGTCCTAATGCATGGGTTTCCTTTGTGCGCACCAAAAAGGCTGCATATTGTTCCTCACTCAACCCACCTCGCTTTTGTAACTCCGTCAAAATTACTCCTGGGTTAACACAGTTCACTCTTACACCCTTTGGTGCCAATTCCAAAGCAACACAGCGTGTGAACTGATCTACCGAGGCTTTAGATATGTTGTATGCTAAGACTCCAGGAAATGATCTTATGCCATTGACACTAGATACATTTACAATATTACCTTTGGTTTTTATCAGGTGCGGGACTGCTAGCATGGTCAAGTAGTAAATCGAGCGCACATTCGTGTTCATAAGACGATCATATTGTGCGAGACTTGTCGTCTCTATGGTACCGGTTTCAATTATACCGGCGTTGTTCACCAATACATCAATTTGTCCGTAATGATCGACAGTACTCTTAACAATTTTCTCAATATCGCTTTCTTTATTCAAATCTGCAGGGACCACAAACGTGGGCGTGGATTTTTCACAATCGCTGTTCACTTTCTTGAGATTCTCGACATTTCTACCGGTCAGCGAGAGCTTCGCGCCAAGTCTTGACAAAAATACGGCCGTAGCTGCGCCAATACCAGAACTGGCGCCAGTAACAATAACAACTTTTCCAGCAAAATTCATCTTAACTTTTACAACGAACTCTTCACAAAATAATCCAAATGTCTTATCAAAACTATTTATAGAACAACTTATCGGATTGTTTGTTCTCGATTCTTGTCCCTTGTTACATTGACAGTGTTACATGTTGATGACACGGATAATTTGATTTGTTTTGTTGACAGTTATTTTTTATGGCTAAATACTTTTCAAACATTCAGCATTCTCATTAATGTGATTCTTTTTGTTACACATATGAGAATAAAGAAAACCAATGACGAATGAAAACTGCGAGCACGTTTTAATTATTCGTCTTCATTTCTTAAAGCTAGGTATTTGTGCGACCCCATGTACGATTTTTATAGCCGAAAAATGGTCTTTCTAATAAGTTACTTTGTGTGCCACATAGATTAAGTCATATAAACATGTCACGCATCCGTCTAGTACGATCTTAATCAAAATTACAAAATGTAAACAATAATAGTTAAATATTTCGCTAATACAATCAAAATTTCAGTGTCAGTTTTAACAAAATGCCTAAAGTAACAACCAAACTGCTATTTTGCTTATTATATGTATGGAACATTCCCCCATAATGATTATTTGTTTTATAGAAAGAAGTGATTCACATACATATTGGCCAAGCTGGTGTACAGGTGGCAAATGCTTGTTGGGAACTATATTGCCTGGAGCACGGTATACGTCCTGATGGATTTTTAACTTATTCAGATGACCAAGCTAGCTATGGATCATTTTTTAATGAAATTGGGGGCGGCAAACTTATCCCAAGAGTTGTTATGATCGACTTGGAACCAACTCCCATCGGTAAGGCTATATGTAAATTTTTAGTCCACGTTCTAGAAACTAACCGCCATAATATTTTCTAGATGAGATTAGAACTGGAACATACAGGCAGCTGTTTAATCCGTCGACTCTGCTCACTGCTAAGGAAGATGCTGCGAGCAACTTTGCTCGTGGATATTTTAGTATCGGCAGGGAAATGATCGATTTGGCCTTAAATCGCATTAGAATTGCAGCTGAAGATTGTAATTCTCTTCAAGGCTTTATTATATTTCGATCATTTGGCGGAGGCACTGGCTCAGGATTCACTGCTTTGTTATTAGAGGGATTAGTAAGAGACTACGGAAAATTAACAAAAATAGAATATGCCGTTTATCCGGCTCCAAGGATTTCACCGATCATAGTTGAGCCGTATAACGCTGTCCTCACATCGCATGCGTGCATGGACACAGAAGACGTATGTTTCATTTTTGATAACGAAGCCTTATATGATATTTTAGCAAGATCTCTGGATGTGCCGAGACCTACTTACACAAACTTAAATAGGCTCATTGCACAGGTAAGTGAGTAATGAAATTTATTTGATTTGATATCAGATTCGATTAACGCAAATCACTATGTTTATTTTAGGTGGTATCGTGTATGACAGCTTCTATGAGATTTGAAGGTTCTTTAAATGTGGAATTGGTGGAATTTCGGACAAATTTAATACCTTATCCGCGCATACACTTCCCTCTTATTACATTTGCGCCATTCTTGCCAGCATCCAGGGCTATGCATGAAGGCAATTCAACAAGTCAACTCATAATGTCTTGCTTTGAACCAGCCAATCAAATGGTTAAATGCGATCCAAGGCAGGGGAATTACATGTCGTGTTGCTTGCTCTTCAGGGGTGATATTAATCAAAATGACATAAACGCGGCCATCAATCAAATAAAAAGTACTAGAACTATAAAATTTGTTTCATGGTCACCTACAGGATTCAAGGTACAAGCTTACCCACAGTACTGACACTTGTTACAAATAAAGAATTTTCTCAATTTGTTTAGTACGAAGAGGGTACCAAGTAAAAAATGCCGTATTTTGTGGCCTCTAGTTTGTTTTTTTATAACTTTTAGATTGGTGTAAATTATCAACCCCCACTAACGGTACCCGGAGGAGATTTGGGCGCCTTGCAAAGAGCTGTTGTAATGGTATCTAACTCTTCGGCAATACGTGTTGCATGGGAGCGGTTGTGCAAAAAGTTTCACCTAATGTACGCTAAACGAGCGTTTGTCCATCACTATGTTGGCGAGGGTATGGAAGAAGGGGAATTCACTAGCGCATATAGAAACATAAGAGCATTATCTAATGATTATAAGGAAATGGAAACATAAGCCTCACTCTTTCCATACAAAGCTTTATTTTTAATTTCTTTGTTTATCTCAGTCTTTTTAGGTAGTGTGGCCACGTTGTAAAATCAAAAAAGGCTTATTTCAGCTAGTAAAATTAATGTGATCTGTCAATGTCAAAATTAGTGATATCAAATGTCACATCTCAACAAACGTCAAGACAGAAAAAGTCAGAAACAGAAACTTCCCAAAACAAATTTAATTCAATTCAAATAGACGAAAGTTGATATGTGAATGCGACCGGGATTCAAACAAATTCGTGTTAACTATTAATCCCAAGATAATTATAAATAAAATTAATTGCACACAGTGAGTTCTTAAACAAAGTTTCACAATATATTGCTTAGGTTATTTTGTTATCTTTATTTTTGCACCCTAAATTAAATGTTTTAGCGATCAATCAGTTGGAAGTAAGTATCAGATAATTGAAGTACACTAGCTCAACGTAATAGGTTAATTAATAAAAATATTTCGTTCAATATTGCAGCACGATTTCGTAATGTGGAGTTTGGCGCATATTTGTCGTTGCTCTCAGTCAGTGCGAGTCGCACATAGCAAAGTACTACTAAACAATGCTGGAACGCGGTTGATTAGCAGAGAGCTGACCACTCCAACTCGCTTCAATTTAGTAAGCTTAAGGAATACAAAGACTTTTAGGGTAAGAAAATTATTATGAAAATAAAAATTTACTTGCCATAGTGGCAAATAACGGATTTCTTCTTGGCTCGTATATTTTAACCTTCATTTATTACTAATCTATTTATTAAAAATAACAACATGTAATCAATAACACTAGAATGCATAAGAAGGGAGGGAGTTCAGTTACAATCTTTTGTTTTGTGTACATGCTGCCTTTATAGGGTTGTCCCAAATAATTGTGACTAGATGAATACTGTGACAAATTTCAGATAAGTGAAGTGATCAAGTCAAATGGCATCATAGCTCGGTTCTGTGCAAGTGGTCCGAAGCAGAAGCCATCAAAGGCTGTTGGGTACTGGCTGCTGGGATGCAGTGGGATGGTGTTTACTGCGGTAGTGTTAGGTATGGTAGCGGGCTATATAATACTATTGTATAGCGTTTGTTATGTTATTAATATTATTGTAAAGACGACTAACGGAAAGAAGTGAAACAACTGTGATTAATTTATCACTTATATGAATATTGTTTATTTTTGTCTCTGTTGTTTATAAAGATAATGAGAGATGGCATGTTTGTAGGTTTTATGGTGAGGTATCTTGCAGTAATTTTTTCAGTGAATATTGTTAATTTGTGTACATAAGTAATTCAATTAGTTATAACTGTGAAATAAATAAAGGATTGTATTGTGATGCTTTTTGTCTATTTTATTAAAGTACCTTTACTGCATGAGTGTATTTCTTTTACCAATATCTTTCTCTAGTTGTTGCTTGGTTGCATCTTCAAATTAATTGTATTAAAATTTATCAATTGTTTAAAGCTCAAAAATAATTATAAACTGATATTAATGAACAAAATAACAAATTACAATATTAATTATTACTTCACTATTAAAAATTATGACTGCATAGAAAGTTTCAAAGATATGTATAGTGTTTTATCACTTTAAATGCTATACCTGTTTTTTAAAACATCAATTTGTGCCACTGAATGTGTTAATCACCAAAACATGTCTATTGGCAGGTGGTGTGACACGTCTGACAGAGTCGGGACTGTCAATGGTGACATGGAGGCTGCTGGGGGAGTCGCTGCCCACCACAGAGGAGCAGTGGCAGCAGGAGTTTGAGAAGTACAAACAGTTCCCAGAGTATAAATAGTAAGTTGACGTGCTTTTTAAACATAACATCAATGTTAGTACATTTATTTTGTTATTTGTATGCATGAAAATAAAAAGATGACTTAGTGAGTTTCCTATGTGATGTTCCATATAGTAAGTCACTTTATCAAATTTCATACAGATCTAATCTGTTAACAAGTATTCATCCATATGTTCATAATGAGAATGTGCTATGTCTGTTCTGCAGCAAAAACCAGAGTATGACGCTGTCAGAGTTCAAGTGGATCTGGTGGATGGAGTACCTGCACCGCAGCTGGGGGCGCTGTATCGGCGCCGCGGTCTTCCTCCCCGCCGCCTTCTTCTGGCGCAAAGGATTCCTCGACAAACACATGAAGAGACGTGTCTCCGTCTACTGTGCACTCGTCGCTGTTCAGGTAACAAGCAAGCGAACAAACAAACAGCAAATCTATTTCGAATAACTCAGCTTATTTTATCGACTTTAACAACACATGCATACTCCAGGGTCTGATGGGCTGGTACATGGTGAAGTCAGGTCTGGAGGACCGCTTCCAGGGTCCCTCTGACGTGCCCCGCGTCTCCCAGTACCGGCTGGCGGCCCATCTGGGCCTCGCCTTCGTCCTGTACTTGGGTCTGCTCTCAGGAGCCCTGCGGGTGCTTCGCCCCTTCCCCGTCGCAGCCACATTGCACAAGATGAAAGATTTGAGGAGTGTGACAGCGCTGGCACACACTGTTAAAGCTATGGCTTTCTTTACTGCAATATCGGGTGAGTGTTATATAAGAATATGCTAGCTGTCTCTCACGACTCCGTCTGCGCGGAATGGAATAAGACTTAATAAGTAGTCTATGTGTTCTTCCAGGCTATGTTCTACATTTATGTCAAATTTCAGTAAAATCCGTACAGCTGTTCTGGATATACTTTCATCCATCCAATATATATAATAAACATTCATCCATCCAAACATTCACATAATAAAGTTAATTAAAAAAACAATAATTATTATTGAAAAAATAAGTCGGATTTATGATTTTTATAGTTCAATATGTGCTCAATTTTTTTTGTAAACTAAAATGTTACCTGTGTGAGAGCGTCGGTGGCTCAGGGGTAAAGCACTTGACTTGCAATCTGCAGGTCCTGGGATCGAATCCCGCCATGTACCAATGTGTTTTTGATTTTCGATTTACATATGTACATTTATCTGACGTTCTTACGGTGAAAGAAAACATCGTAATGACGTATCTACGTATAAATTCAAAGATATGTGTGAAGTCAACCCGCACTTGGCCAGCGTGGTTGACTATGGCCTAATCACCCTTGATTTGAGGGTAGGCTCCGAGCTCCTCGGTGGGGACGTATAGTGAGCTGATGATGTGTGCCCTAAAATGTTAGCTGTTTAAAGAGACATGTAAATAAAAGTTTGTTTGTACGATGAGGCGCGTTCGTGGCCGGACTGGACGCGGGTCTGGTGTACAACTCGTTCCCGAAGATGGGCGAGCGCTGGTTGCCGGAGGACATCCTGGCGCTGACTCCGACGAGGCGCAACTTCACCGAGAACCCCACCACTGTGCAGTTCGACCACCGCGTGCTCGGCACCGCCACCCTCGCCGCCGCCACCACCCTCGCCCTCCTCGCGCGCCGCCGCACCCTCTCGCCCCCCGCCACTACCCTCGCGTATGCTGTCGGAGCCATGGCCTGGGCACAGGTCACTTCTCTTTATAATCATTATTATCTATACAAATAGTCGTGTTTATTACACTATAACATAAGAACAACTGAAAAATGATGGGGAGGTAGCTAAAAACCATGAGACGGACATAGGATACTTTTTATGCTGTTTATCAGACGAAGTCGCGATCAAAGGCTAGTTACTTACTTATATTTATGAAATCCCACGACGCCACATTAGTTACGATGTAAAATTTCTTTTATACAAAGTGTTTAGATAGTGAGAAAACCAATTTATAAATAAAGAATATTGTGGACAACAACATAACTCACGCCTGAAACCGAGAGGGGTAGGCAGAGACTGCGGACATCTATTTCTCGTGGTCCACTCTCTGTTGTGAATACAAGTTTTGATTGTTTATATCGTATGTGTGACAACGCAGGTGTGCCTGGGCATAGCGACGCTGGTGACGTACGTGCCGACTCCGCTGGCCGCCAGCCACCAGGCCGGCTCGCTGACGCTGCTCACCCTCGCCCTCTGCCTCACGCACGAGATCAAACTCCTCAAGTACATACCCAAGTGAACCGCATCACATCGCATTGTGCTAAATCCTACGTATTTAATGAGTTAACTGTTGTATTATAAACCATAGCTGTTACAACAATAACCGTATCTTTGTTTAAACTGTTATAAAGTTCACAAATGTTTTCTTGCAATGGAAACACACGGAGTAACATTGTTACCTTGTTGAGTTCAGTCGACACAGTATTGTAACATGTTTCAGTGAAACTTCTTTATATTATAAGTTAACAAGCGGATACTTGAATTCAGTAAATTGAAGAAGAATGTACAGAAAGATTAATTATATGATACAATAATATGCTTTACACATCACATCCTCCATCAAATCCACTTCCTCTTCACATTATTTCCTTGTAAGAAACAGTAGTAAGAGGAAGTGGACTAAAATTATACCTCCGAGTATTAAAACTAATGTTAATCTTCAAATTAATATTTGTATTGTAAATGTGTCGCGTGAAACAGACTGCTTTTAGTATAATATTGTACTATTTAAATAGATGGTTTTTGTTTCTATATGCTTTTTATTTTTTCCTTTATGTTTCACGATTAATTTCAAGCAGATCAAGTACGTAAATGGGAAAATTTAGATGAATGGATAGCTGTTTGTTACAAGTTATCTCCGGAACGGCTCAGTGATTTTTTAATTTAATTGGGCATACATGTAGAATAGTTTGAAAAAATAAAGCTAGGAAGGCTACTTGTATTTTTTTATGACTGAGCCGCGACGACAACAAGTCTATATGTGTCACTAATTCAGAAAAGGTCGAGAAGAGAACATTTTAGCCCCTTCTATTAGATCACTTTGTTATGCCTATATTTAAGCATTTATCAGATAATAAGTACAAGAATGAAATAAATATATTTATCTTAACCGATTTTATTTAAACATATTTTACAGCAATGGATTTCTATAAGAACAAAACCAATTGTTATAGGAACGCAACGCGGAATACTAAATTTGCATTGCAATAGATTCAACGAGTTACGTTACAAATAGTTTTTGACAAAAGAATATTTTATGTGCGGTGAATTTTAAACACAAGAGAAGCAGATTGCAAATTGTATACAATAAGATAATAGATTACGTTTAATTTGTACACGACTTGCGAGTTTAAAGATCAATATAAAAAAAACTCCATACAATGCAAAACAATCTTCTATGCTCAAGTTAAAAGGAATATTGAAATATTAGCAAATTAACTGTTAGTAAAATATATTAAATGTATATAAACGCTATTATTTACAAGCGTATCGACGTGAGCAAAAGAATTAGTTAAAGTACAGTGAAAGTTTTGGAATTTACCCGTATCACTCAATTAGGGATGAGAAAATCGACGAGCCCCTTCCATAAAGCTATTAAATTATACATGCCTCAAATATACAGTGTATACATTTAATATAACATGTATACTATCCATATAGGTTGTATACTTCACTTAAAATATCAACTGCGATATAATTTTACAATAAAAAATCGAGCGGACATATAAAGTACAGATAAAATTATATTTACTGAGCAAATTTACTTTTATTGGGCTTCTGGAATACGGGCTCGGTGAACATTTAAATTAGCACCACACAATAATTCCTTAAAGCGGAAAGGAAATGCTATAAACAAATTAAAATATGTTAAAGATAAAATTTAACCGCACAATTTTGAGACTTGAATTTTATAAATCACAATTATTTAAATAAAATTTACCAGTAGAATTATTTTGCTTATATTTTACGAAAATTGAGACGTTATTTTAATTCTATAGATAAATATAAACAATATGGCATGCGATACGAACACAAACGAAATGGTTCGGCATTATATAGGATGTTCACAGTTTCGAAACATTCTACATTTTTCAAAGACATGTTATTTAAGTATTTTGAAGGAAAAACAGAATAATTTTTTTGTAAACTGTCAGCTAATGAAATATGTTTATGTTTATAAACGATTTTTTTTCAAATTATTGTCTGTGAAGTTTCTACTTAGATTATTTCGAGTACTGAAACATCGACATTTATTTTATTTTTTTAATTTGAAGTAATTAAAGAAAAATTTATTAACTTCTCGCAACCATAATTTTCCTCCAACCACTTCAAACCTTATACGTTATTATCTATGGTAACCGGAGGCAGCAATAAACAAAAACTGTTACAAAACTAAGCCTCATCCAAATGTTTACATTAGCGTATAAATATACACATATCTTTAGTCTATGGATTAGTTTATATATTTATTTATATTTTACATACTTTATTTTATATTAGACCATTATAATAGGTTTTCATCGCCAAAACATCTGCATAAAAACATATCTTTCTCTCGTTTCTTATAGAGAATGAGGGAGATGTAAGTTTGTATCCATCCTGCATGTGTTTTGTCAGTGGAAATCAACGAAGCTAAACAATAAACATCGAGAAACTTGTACAATACATATTCTCATTGCGAGAATATCTTGCATCTATGTAAAGTTTATTCATTTATTAATTACAATATTTAGGCGAAAATACACTCATTAATATAAAATTAAATATTTTATTATCAATAATTACATTTATCAATAATTATTTATAGGCCATCAATATGAAACAGAAAAGAAAAATATTAATTTATATAAATTTTCTTGCGTTTTAAACAAAAACAGCATTGTTATTTCTTCATGTATACACTTCAGATGCGTAGTATACACACTATATTACGTTCATATAAGGCGTAAACCAATGTATACATGTTAATTAAAAAAAAAGGAAAAACAAAACGACTAATAAAAGTAGGAATTTACTTATAATTTTATCAAGTAAAGATAGTAACTAAGTTTTAAATACTTTACGATTTGCATGTAAAATATACATTTATTTAAAAATATATGTAAGTAGTTATCACTGTATGAATACATTTAATATAGAAAGAAATGCAGAGAATAAATTAATGTATATTAAATATTCTAGCCGTTAAGAGATGAAATATTTTGTAGGCGGTATGTTTTGAGTATATTGCCTCTTAAAAACATTATGTACTTGAATATACAATACATATATACATAGTAAATATACTAATTATTTGTGTCCCACTAATCTATTTAATCTTCTTCATCAATAAAAATAAAAAAAATCAATGCTTGTATGTTTTGATGCGTTCCAAACTATTTTTGATAATTTTAATAAAACTTTAGAAAGATACAAAAAAAAAGCTCTTTAGTGACATTTTTTGTCAATTTTTCAAATATTTTTGTTTTGAAACAATATTGCTTAATTTTACATTTAAATTTAAATGGAAATAATTTAAAAATGAATATGCAATTATTTGAGATGTAAATAGGATTTTTAATTTTGTGTTACAAATAATAATAATTTATTGAGCAATATGTCATTAGGTTTCTGAGGTTATTTGCCGTATACAGGGGGATATTATTAATTTGTTTTTTTATTATAAATATTATAATATTTATAATTACATATTAATTACTTCTAAATAAAGTCTCATGACGAAAATATTAAACAAATTTATTTAAAGTAATATGAAGTAACTAAGATAGAACACAAAATAAATAGCATTACTAATTAGGAAAATAAGGCTTTGTCCTTCAAATTATATAATTACATATTAAAGATATATCGTGGGTTTCTGAGAACAAAATGTTCATTTAAAACATATTGTTATCTCCGTGTTGTCAAAAACAGGGATGACGATATGTTTTATACAAAGATTTATGTCTCAGAAACCCACTGTTAGTATATTAGTGATATTTTTAGGAATATTTAAATAAACTTAAGGTTTGATTTGACAAAACAAATCGCTATTTATTATATAATTTTATGTATTAATTTTTTTCATATTATTTACATGTATTTAGGTAATGTGTACTATGAGTATGCAAAATCTGAGATTAAATTGTTAGAGAGATAATTAACACTCAGAGAAACGTTATTACTATACAAAATACAAAACATGCAAAATTTACACAACTTTAGATTTTTCCTTGCATATTTTAAAATAACTCTTCATGTATATAAAATCTTGTTTTAAATAAATAATGGCAGTAAATGTAATCCAGTTCGAAATATATTAAGAATATAATAAATGCAATAATTTAATTTACATACAAATAAAAAATAATAATCTCATTATAAAACAAGCGCTTGTATGAGTGTCAAATGTACGCTCATATTTAATCAAGTAAGAAAAATCAAATAAATTTGCTTTAATATTATATTTTTATACCATACTTTAATTTAATAATACTTTTTATATATAAAATTATTTTGTAAACGTTCATTTCAACATAGGTTTTTGATATATTAAAAAAATGAAGGATTAAATCGATTGCTATCATAGGAACACATCGATTTCAGAGCGCAAAGCGATTACGATTAATTTTATCGATTTTTATTAAAAAAAAATGTTGAAGTTATGCAGATTTATATACACGCTTATGATATGTCGACACGTTTTGATAAAAACTATTATATTATATGAACACAAAACAAATTAAACAAAACCACATTCAAAATAAATAAAGTTATCAAAAGTTGAGCTTCATTTAAAAAAAATAAAAAAGAACTGAAACAACCAAACTTCATCAAAAAAAAAAACAAAAAAATATCAAGCATAAAATCGATATTGTTGTCTATAATCGGCCACGCATGCGATTATCGATATTGATGCGAATCGATGTGTAGTTGCCGGGAATCTCAAATGTAAGAACTTGCCAGAACACTATTGCTATCTCTGACATTTTCAAACAGAAGGAGAGGGATGGCAATATTGCAATACAAATATCACTACATTGGACATTCACAGCGTACGTCCAGTTTAGATTATTCTAGTAAAGCGACAGATTTCAGTGTGTGATTACAACTGGAAATATGTAAACTAGAATGCACTGTATGGTTTCCAGAGTATGTTTACATACTTCAGTTGTAATCCAGTGTAGATTCAGCCACTGGATTGGAATAATGTAAAGTGTGAGAGACCCATGTTGCAGTACCGGGTGGTGGGGTGGCGGGCGGGGGCGAAGCTCCTAGCTGGGGGGGCGCGGCTCGGTGCTGACGATGACCTGCACCACGTATCCGGGCGTGATGCGCGCCTCCTCGACCAGCAGCCGGTCGCCCAGCAGCTTGCCACCGTAGAACCAGCGCTGACGCCACGGCTCTATGCCCTCCAGCGCCTACACACACACATAAACCATTCAGCCACATTTACTACGGATGTTCCAATAAATTGTTTTAGAAAAAATAATGAAAATCTACAAAAATTAAAAACAAACTATTTCTCTATCAAACCTGATGCCTTGTTAACTAAGCATATATTTTGACTTAATCACCATCTAATATGAAATCAAAAAACCAAAGGTTTGTTCATTGAAAAATTAACAATATTTCAATATTAGAAAACAAAGTGTTAACTATACTTTGACATATATTGACTTTATTCTTACGCAAATAGCGATCATTCAGATTAATTTATGACAGTCGGTCAAGTATGGACAGGAAAATGTCGCGTGCATTAGCAGTCAAGTCGCGACGACGTTTCAATTTATCATCAACATTAAGCTCGGGTGTGCAGGGGGAGACGTATTGTCGTCGATTTCTCAATACATGAGTCACGTTTCAATTTGTACGGGCAACATGACATTAAACATGCTTTCATACTCCACACTTACACACTATATAACTCCTTGCTAACAAACACATAACTTTACAAGTACTAAGAGAAACAAGATTTCACCTACAAGAACTATGTTTTCATAATTAAAGCTTGGTATTAGCAGTTAATGAATGTATTGATTGAATTAAACTCTATTAATACTTGATATACAATTAATAATAATCCGTACCGATGAAGTGAACAAATCTTACTAATATTATAAATGCAAATATTTAGATGGACGGATGTTTGTTAGAAGGTATCTCCAGAATGGCTGCATGGATCTCGTTGAAATTTGGCCAAAGATATAGAACATTGTCTGGAGGAACACATAGGCTAGGGTATTATAATTTGTTGAAATCCTGATACAACTCTCCCATCCTCATCTACTTACATTGAAGTATGTACCACTGATTACAAACAATATAAATTAAAAAAAAATCTTAAGAATTAACTAAATAAGTGAGATTCATTATCAAGGTACATACATGCAGTTCAGTCTTGCAATGTGCGATGGTGTGCCGAGCACCCACTCGCAGCTCAAGGTCGCGGCAGGTGGTAGAAAGCCGCAGCCGGAGCGCTAGAGCTGCGCCCCCATCCGCAGGCTCTGACCACTCTGCTGGCGAGTCGCGCCCGCACGCCTCCTTCACCATATTAATTGGCGGGGACAGGCAGTAGATTGGTACCTATACAAGACACACATTGTAATATTATTTGCAAATTGAATGGTAGAATGACCTTGGAAACATCCATCTATCTGCGATGGGAGGGCAAGGGATTAGCACCATACTTGACAGTTGAACAATATTGATTTTAATCAAATCTGAAATCTGACTTTTGCCTGAGACATTTTCAGAAGTTTTGCACATACCCATTAAAGTTATTATTTAATTTTTAAGACAATTAATTTTATTAAAATCCAAATAAATGTAACATCTCATCTTCAAGTATTTATCATATCTAGTAACATTAAAAGATAAACTGTTTCCTTATTTGTATTATTTTGCAATTGTGTATACATGAATACAGTTCTTACATTCAAGGTCATGGCCATAGTTCTATCCTTAGTTGAGGCACTAGAATTGAGGCATTGTCTCATTAAAAATATTAGCCATTTTATTGGACTCAGCAGTGTGATTACATACTGGAGGAACTACCCTTTATAATGATGTTTCATAATTTGTCTTTTAGTTATAAGGCTTTTAATTTCCTATGTAGCTCTTAATTTTGCAAGAGTTGGTGCGCCAGAACACATTTTTATTTGTAGCAGAGTGTAGCGAAATGACCTTGGGCTTCCAAGATATTTGAAAAGACTAATTTAAGCAAAGTTACAACTACAGCATGTTTATCCATTTAATTAAGCTAATTATCTTAATATGATATTGCTTATCAATTCTAAGTTTATATAATTTAAGTTTCAAGGGCATCAGAAAAGAAATGCATGACTTATAATTTAGGCATTTCAATACAAGTGTTCACAAATTGTGTGACTCATAGGATAAATTGTTACAATTGGAACATTTAAAGAAGTCTGACATATCTACATATCTATGTCATATTATCTATTCCATTTCCATTTGACAACAGGAAGTTTTTGATAACTTGCAGTGCAGCTGCTGTGTGACATTTGTACTTTACATTTATGTAATATATACACATTAATTAAATTGGAATGTTTGTATGTAATATCGAAAAAAATCATGTTTCATAAATATGATGTATAAGATAGCTAACAAAAAATCTAATTATTGTTCGCCTGTCTGTGAGGCAGTGTTAGTAACAGGAAATCAACAGAATGACTGGTTAAATTCTAAACAGGACTATGATGAGATGGTAGCTGACACATGCAAGCATATTATAAGTTACTTTTTATTTCTGCTCGAACAAAGTCTGGGGTGCCCGCTAGTAAATAATAGAAACACTTCATACATCTACAGGACCTATTAAATTCTAATGGCCAATATTTCTCTGACAATAACATAAATCAAGATGTTATATGACCTGATAGCATTTAATTATGTTAGTGTTGCGAGAAATTAATTTTGAAAACATTCAATATCTATCAAGAAAGCTAGAATGGGTTTATAAAACATACATTATGAATCCTACTTGACTTTAATGTGTTCTCTCAATAACATATTGGGCAACAGACATTACCTGATATCTAGTTCCCCATTCATCATAGCATTCTGTGAGGTAGCCATTTGGCACGGAGACACTGGCGCCGTCCAGTATAGCCTGCGCCAGCTGGAAATCCATGGCCTCGGCGGCGACGGCTGCCGCCCGCAACGCATCCCAAATCTCCTTTCGGCCCTCGAATGCCGGCGCAGTGTCCCAGAACTCATCACGTTTACTCCGCAGCTGGCCCTCTGTTAATGGCACGTCAGACTTCCACCGAATCGTTTCATGACAAAGGGACTGATTTTTCCTCAGAGCACCTACAACAAAAACTTAATCAGCCCATGAAGTCGTCTCCACGGTGACGGTCAGGCATTCACATACCGGAATTAGGCCGCGACACAGTTCCAGACGACCCTTCCATAGGGCCGCTTCTGCTTCTAGTTATTCCGATGCAACCACCCATTATAATCACATTCTATGATCTCCACTTTAATAATTTAGTACAAAAAAATATTAACAAATAATATTTTCATTGCCTATCCATTTCTGTCAAAAGATAGCTGTACACATTCTGTATTTGCATTGTGAACGAATGTTTCTATTCCGAAGTTTATTGTGTGTTTCAAAATTGTACACACGGCCGTTTTATATACCAAGAGAAATTGTACTTTTAAACATCAGCATCAACATTAGCAACAGATTTATCCAGAATTTAATTTATTTTTATTGTATCAATTGGTTCTTCTAATCATCTAACTAGAAAAAAAAAGTTCAACACGCGACATTTGACAAAACGAAACGTAAAACATCGAAGTGGTCCGAAGTGAGATGTACCAAAAATGCCTAAAAATTTGCTGAAAATCATTAAAACTTTATTTAAATAAAAGAAATTTTACGACTTCAATAATTTAGTCACATTATTTTTCCAATTTAGAATGATTTCATTTTTATTTTTATCGAATTAATGGAATTTAATATTTTTGGAAATCTTGGTATTAAATACCATCTATGTATTCAGTCCAATTTTTATATAACAAGCCGTCTTTGCAGATTACAAACCAATTAAACTTCCATAAAACTCCTATTTATAAAAATAATACTGATATAAAAATACTTATTATTTGTATAAAATTACTGCTACATAACTTGTCAGGTTGACAGTTACCATTGTCATTTTTGTCAATCGTGAAATGTAAACATATCATTGTCATCGCAGATTTAAGACTGTATTTTTATTTTTTGCATTTCTATTGTAAATGTTTTATTTTTACTAATAACAAGCAATAGACTATTTATGATATGGAAAATAATGTAAACTTCAAGACGATCCAGGATTACAAAGTCACCAATGTAAGCTTTACAATCCGTTGTTAAATTTAAATTGAATATAATTCACATATCAAACACTATTGTGAGGATGATATTCTATTTTATATTGCAGGTTGACCCGACTGCTTTTTACATATCAGAGTTTTTATCAAATAGCGAAGAGCAGTATATCTTATCGAATATTTATTCGGCGTCGAAACCTAAATGGACTCAACTTTCGAACAGAAGACTTCAAAACTGGGGTGGTATTCCTCACAATAAGGGCATGATAGCCGAAAATATACCCGATTGGCTGCAGAATTATCTAAACAGAATAGATGAATTGAATTTGATGGGTGGAAATAAACCAAATCATGTTTTAGTTAATGAATACACACCTGGGCAGGGCATCCTGCCACATTTAGATGGGTCATTATTTTACCCGACTATAACAACAATTTCTGTAGGCTCACATATTGTTTTAAAATTTTGGGAGCCACTACCAGATGCCAATGAGAATGCTTTAGATATGAAAACAGTTTTTTCATTTCTACTAGAGCCAAGAAGTCTACTGGTATTGCAGGATAAACTGTTCCATCACTATTTGCATAGCATTGAGGAAATAAAAGAGGATGTTATTGATGAGTCAATAAAAAATTTACACATGTGTTCAGATAAATATGTGAAAGGTGATACTGTCTGCCGCAGCACAAGAATATCACTAACAATAAGACATGTACCTAAAACAAGTTCATTTAAAATTAATATTGGTAATAAAAGATGATAATAATTAAGCTTTTTAATATACTAATTTTTAGCTTAAATTCCTTTTAAAAGTTTCTAGTACCCATAATAATATAGCTTAAAAAAACAACATTTTAAAAGCATTACCATTTAATTTTCCTTTGTTTAATTAAAAAAAAGTAAGATGTTCCATTTTTAAATAACATATTTTTTTATTTACAATCCAGATGGCTATGGATTAAAATTAGTTTAATGATTAATTTTATGATTTGATAAAAATATTGATTTTTATAATGAAATTATCAAAATTGTTTTTGAGTGAAAAATTTATTCGGCGAGTTGCATGCAATAAGACAACAGTTAGATGGGCAAGTAGGAAACCAGCTGCGGAACACGCCCAGACATGCGGCTCTGATAAAGTAAAGGTCAAAGAAGTTAAATCTAACGAAAATGAAAAGGTTAAGTAATTATCTTGATGTAATTATTTCCAAGACAAACAAGTGTCGAGATTTACCCAAATTAAGCCTCGACCTCTAATAATTACTATACACCTTCCGTCACCTCCGTCAGTCAATACTAAGAACTCTTGTAGATGCTCCCACACTATGCCTCCAACGATTCTTGGGACGGCTAAACAACGGCCTATTTCAAACATTTTATAATTTAACATTGCCAACTTGTTCAACTAATGTCGAGGCTTGTTGGTATGATATAGTTTTTATTTTATTTTTCAATTAAAATAACCACTACTGCGTTATTTTCGCAGAAAGGTGTGGTGGTGGGCGTGTTCGACAATGGCAAAGAACTAGAGCTGACGTGTGTAGGTCGCGAGATCGACCAGCGCAACGGAGGCAAACTCGCGCGGCAACTCAACGAGTTAGTTATTTATTTCGTAACAGTCAACATTCGATTTAAAATAGGCATTTTGTACCAGTTTTACCCTAAACTAAGGAAGATAAATTCTTTTAAATTGATTTTTTATATAATATAAAAGTTTTAATAAGCAACAATCTAGTATCGTTTTGTTTCCAGAGTGTCCTGTCAACTGCGGCTGGGACACGCGCTGGTGGTGAGTGACGTGGGCGAGGAGGGCGACGTGGCGCTGGCATGTTGCGGCCTCAAGCACGCCGGATACAACAAGCTGGAGGAACTCGATGAGAAACGGGTCTGAACATCTCACTTATTATAATATGTACCAAATGCAGCACTCTTTTCTAATTAGGAATCGATGAAAGGAAAGAGATATTGACGAAAAAATTGTTTATTCTTGTATCAATCAAAAGTAGAAATAGCGTTTGTAACCCAATTACATATTGGATACTTGTTTGTTAGTTTTATTCTATAAATAAAAGGCAACTAATATGATATAAATGTTGATGTGTCAGGAGAACGTGCGGTGGGGTGTGGGTGCGGGCGTGCGCGCGCTGCAGGCGCGGGGCTGCGCGCGCGTGCTGGTGGACAGCTCCGTCGCGCCCGATGCCGCCGCGGAGGCCGCCCACCTCGCCGCCTGGAGGTACACTTCCTATCTCTTATTACCAAAAGAAGCACTAGCAAAAGAATAGGCACGAAGGACCATAGGTGACATTAGAAAAAAGATTTTTATATTGTGTTAAAATATATATAATTCTCTTTCTTTGATTGATTTCCTATGTTCTTGCATGAGAGCTGGTAACGCTTAGACTTCGATCAGGTTTCAAGAGTTCAAGTCGAGCGCAGAGCGGCGGACTGTCGCCAGCGTCGCGATGTACGAGTGCAAGCAGTCGAGCGAGCAGGCCGGCGAGCAAGCTGGCGAGCAAGCTGGCGCGCACGGTGGCGAGACGTGCGCGGCGCTGTGGGCGCGCGGGGCGGTGATGGGCGAGGCGCAGAACTGGGCGCGCTACCTGTCCGACATGCCCGCCAACAAGATGACTCCTATAGGAATCGCGCAGGTCAGTTCAGATATGAATTGTTTAGTGACATGTGACGCTACTAGTGAGACTCGGAAGTGACGGTGTGTGTGTTGCAGGCGGCGCTGGACACGCTGTGCCCGCTGGGCGTGCAGGTGTGGGCGCGGGACGGTCAGTGGGCGGCGGCGCAGCGGCTGGAGGCGTTCCTGGCGGTGGCGCGGGGCTCGTGCGAGCCGCCCTACCTGCTCGACTGCGAGTACAACGGCGCCGCCCCCGACACGCCCCCAGTGCTGCTCGCCGCCAAGGGCGTCACCTTCGACTCGTGAGACCTTTGCTTTCTATTGCTCTTCATGTCCAGATAACGATGTGCGAAGTTTAATTAATGTGCCATATAAATAGAATTTGACACTTTCTTAGTCAAAAAAATATGCTTTAGATGCTCTTTCAAATATTTATCGTATGTTAAGTGGTATAATATTATACATTTTAATAAATACTATATGTATGCGATGTTCAGCGGTGGGCTGTGCCTGAAGCCGCCGGAGCACATGCGGGAGAACCGTGGCAGTATGGCGGGCGCGGCCGTCGTGCTCGCCGCCATCAAGGCCATAGCTGAACTCAAGGTTACACTATATTCATCTGGACGTATGGACTGATAGAGCAATCAAACTGTACAGTAACGGTTCCACCTCTAAGAGTGCCCTGGGCGAGATATCTAGGGCGCGCTATTTTTGACCTTGCCTTGGGAGGCAGGGGTTTAACAAGTTTAGGTTATGTTAGGAGATGAGATAAATATCTTGAGCAAGACACTATCAAGCCGTTTCATAGTTCTGAGGTGGATTTAGTGAGCGACAATATATTATAAGTAAATGAGGTACATGATGTACGACAGATCCCCATCAACATCCGCGCGGTGATACCTCTGTGCGAGAACCTGGTGAGCGGGCAGTGCATGAAGGTGGGCGACGTCGTGCGCGCGCTCAACGGCACCTCCATACAGGTCACCGATATCATTCATTTATTATATACCTGACACTAAACTTGATTTAAAAGAGTCTGTTAAAGTTACCGACATTGTATCCTTAGTTCGAATCCTCACCACGGCCCAGGGTCAGCGCTAAAATGTTAAAGTTGGCGCAAAATATCACAACTTATAGCCAAGTGTTGGCGGATAATAAAGTATTCTGGATTTAATTTTTTATTGACTTTCACAGGCGACCTCTTAATTTGGAATGATTTGATTTCTCTAAAATAGTTTTGTTATTGTTGTCGGTTGTGATCAGATCGAGGACACAGACATGGAGGGTCGTCTGCTGCTGGCGGACGCGCTGGTGTACGGACAGGCCGCCTACCGCCCCGCGCTCGTCGTCGACGTCGCCACGCTCACACGTCAGTGCTGCATACTCATCCTCAAACTAGACTACACTAGTATTAAACAATACCTAACAACTTACCACAAATAAAAAGTAAATCCACCGCAAAAACAAGTATAAAATATAGAAAAATTATTCGTAATTGAGTGATTATTTTTGTTGAAATAACCTGTTTACCATGTGAAAAAATGTGCACAATTTGTTACAAGAGTTGGTGTTGTGTTGTGTTGTGCAGGGGGCGTGCTGCTGGCGACGGGGGGCGGGGCGTTCGGGTGCTTCAGCAACGCGGAGGGGGCGTGGCGTGCGCTGCGAGCTGCCGGCGCGGCCAGCGGGGACCGGCCCTGGCGCTTCCCGCTATGGAACTACTACCACGCGCAGATCACAGGCACGCCTCAACAACACGCTGGGTACAGACCCTGACTCCTTGCTTACTTATTGCTAACTACATTTTCAGATGAACCATCAGTGGATCTGAGGAATAAGGGATCCGGAAAAGCTACACCATGTCTGGGCGCAGCTTTTCTAAGGGTAACTTTGTTTACGTTCATTTTTTTACACGTACAAACTTACATTTAACTACGATCTCGCCTTAGATGTAGTCGAAAGATGCCCCTTATCTTTATTATTGTCTATTTCAATGTATTATTGTAGTTTTTAAACGTGAAACTCCTCAGCGTTAACAATTACACTGTTGAATTTAATTTTCAAAGATATCTGAAGAATCTGTGCCTTGTGTAAGAAATAGATAAAGTGGTAGTAATGTGTTGTCAGAACTTTGTGTGCGGGGAGTGGGTGCACCTGGACGTGACGGGCGTGGGCAAGCTGGCGCACGCCGCGGCGCCGCCTTACCTGCGCCGGCGTCGCATGAGCGGCCGCCCCGCACGCACACTCGCCTACTTCCTGGCCGAGCTGCCGCACACCAAACAATAACCTTTACACCACCACCACCACTTCAAAATTAATTCATTCATAACTTAATCAATAAATATTATTACGTAACAATTGATATAAAAATCGTCTATGATGCGTTTGTACTTTTGTTTTTAAATCACATTATGTAATTCGTAATGATTTTTATAAATTATGTTTACATTATTACATGATAATAAAAAATGATTTTTTTCCATTGTCTCATTTCTTAGACTAGAAATTATTTAAATCTGTAATATTTTTAAATATTATCAATTATGGATATTCACATGATTGACCGCACAACTTAAACGAATAAAACAAATGATTCATTAGTTTCCGAGTATCATGTAACCATTGGTATTATCTTTGACGACAGAGAAAAAATATTTTATACAAGGATTTTGGTCTCGAAAACCCACAAGTAATAGGAAATTTTAATAATAACGATGAACTACCTACCTAATTCATAGAGTAATACAAAATTGGATTAAAATTTTCATAAAAACATCAGAAATTAAAAAATTAGCAAATAATCGTATGATTAGTAAAGTCTGATAAGTAATTACATCACTCGATGACTTCAGCGTGTATAAAGAGCAGTTATATTTTTAGCGAGCCTCGCATAATGATGGCGGTTATCAGTCTGATTCACCCCGCCTTATACAGACGTTTAGTCATCACAAACTGTAAACATGTCATCAACACATCGTAAATACTAAAGCCAAGGCCTAAGTCATTAATTTAAACTTTTTTTATTATACAATGTAGCACAAAGACGTTGTTAAGAGCGTCGGTGGCTCAGGGGTCACGCACTTGACTTGCAATCTGCAGGTCCTAGGTTCGAATCCCGCCATGTACCAATGTGTTTTTCGATTTACATGGTGGTTGATTTTGGCCTAATCACCCTTAATTTAAGGTAGGCTCTGAGCCTCTCGGTGTGGGCGTATCGTGAGCTGATGATGATGAGCACAACGTCACATGGTTTCGCTAAAATAGCGAATAGATATTTAACATGTTTTGCTAAGAGACAGATTGCTGGAGCCGAGCTTATTATTTAAGACCAAACTGACATTAACTTTTGCAATTCTGAAACATTCCATCTAAAGTGAATGATTCTCTTTCATTTTCTCTGAAGAAACAGTAATAATAATATGTTTATGTTATAGATGTTTCATCGTTACATAAACAATTTCATAGTTATACTATAAGCAAAATTAGACGGTACTTAATATTATGGGCGTCGTCAAGGTAACCGGTGAGTAAATACTACAAACCATATAGATTTATATACATAGCCTAAAAACTACGTCACTATTATAACACATGTTGATAAAAGTTCTCTTTGGAATAAAAACAAGTACTACTAACCCACCTAGCTGGGCCAGATCAGCTGACGACGCTCGTGAATTCTCTCTCGATTTTTAAATAGTTCCATTAGCAAAAACTTAGCATCACATAGCTATCATGACATGTGTTTGTTGTATAAAAGGTGCAGGAAGGAAGGGTAGACAGAAATGAAACACCGATACTTATTGACCTAAAAATGAAGAAACATTTATTTTCAGTATGTCTTTTGTAAAATTTAATAACAGAATGAGTCAAATGTGGTAAGAGTTAACAGAGCGGAGACTTCCATTCGATAGAATTACTTTCACCAACAATAGAAATATAATATTTATCAAGTAATTACCAATAAATCTAATTTATTCCTTTACTGAGACAGTTAAATTTAAACATCCATCGATCAATGTACAGGGAGCGACGCGCGATGCGCGCTAGCTACGGCCAAAGAATAATAATATTTTTTTTGGATTTTTGATTTTAATCTTCACGTACTTTATAAATATCTCATACTTGAAAAAAATTTACATTAAATTGTATCGGAAAGTGCGGACGCTAGCACCGCAAAGAGCCGGGCGCGACGCAACACGCACGCACGCACACATACATAATTAATTATACACGTCGACGTCACGACACGACGACGCGACGACGACGGAAATATACACAAATATAAATATTATGAGCCGACACGAACCCGAGATATACCACCGCGGCGCGGACGTAGGCGCGGGCCGCGGGACGCGCCGCGCACGACCACCAGCTTACAGTTACATTAACGGAATACTTTAAGTCTAAGAGAGGGGGCGCGCGGGCGCGGGGCGGGGCGGGGCGGGGAGGTGCGGTGCGGGCACGCTGGCGGCGCCGCCGCGCCCCGCGCCCGCGCCCGCGCCCGCGCGGCTACAACACGATACGATTATACCATTAAACTGAAACGATGACAATATTTAATTTATCGCAAACACTAGAGAAATGCAGGTCCAATAACGATGGTAATATTGTGTGTCATGAAACAAAATGTATATTTAAATTCTCTGCTTTTTACACACACACTAATCGGCGGCTCACTTCGACGTCATCATGGTGACGAATTCTGGAAACAAACAGAAAAGACAGGATTAGAGCGGGTTCACAACATCATTTCTCCCTCGCAAACACGTCTAAGTATACGTAAAAACAGTAATATTGACACAAAACACTAGTAACCGAGAGATAGATAGAGAGAGATGCACTATTGAACAGATATACCTGTTAGACAGAGCGACCACTAGGTTAACGCATCGAGCAGACGCCTGCGCACTGGGGCGAGGCGTGTGCTCGACGCCACACTGACACAGAGACCAAAGAAACCGTCGTCATGCCACTACAAGGGTTGAGGCGAAATACCACCCCCCCGCGTGTCGAGGGCGCGCTGACGTTTGCTGCTCGTTAGTCAGGAAACACAAAGCTATGTACAATACAATACAATGGAGAGCGAGGCGGTAAGAGCAAGCGGGAGATCGCCAGGTGGTATTTCAGTACTTCTATACAGATATTAGACACATGCACCAATCTACAGGAGGATGCTCCTGCGGATGGAGCGGCCGCAACGCCTCCACAAGGCCTTGCGCCCGCTCGGAAAGAGAAACACGACAGTTGAACGGTGACCGAAAGGGTGTGAGAAGAGGTAACCGAAGTAGGTTGGGGTGGGGTGTGGGGGGACGGAGGGGGCGCTAACATGTCCAAGGAACAGTTAATAACGAGCAGCAAACCATTCAGAAACACTGTCAGTACCTAGTGGCGACCGCGCTCGACGTGGGCGTTTACACAACTAGGGGAAACGTTTCGAGATCACAGCGCTATCGCAGAGTCTTTTCTTATTGTTAGTTAAGGTACTAGGAAAGCGCGCGGCCGCGGCCGCGGGCTAGCGGCTACCGTCGCCGCGCGCGAATATGATTTGCGCGAGGGCGTGGAAGTCTGCAAGAGAAACGCGCGGTCGGTTGATACTGGCACTGGCCGGCTCGCCGCGCCTCGCCTGGTGTCGCCACTCGCTGCGTCTAACAGCACACTACATACCATTTCAACATTTACGATTACTTTACAAAATAACTTATTACACCAAGGTCGCATTCTAGTGTACATTTAAAAGGTCTTAATTTTGTAATCGTAAATTCAAAAGTGTGAATACTTCAATAAGGCGTTTCATGGAAGCGAGCTGGCGACCCCGTGCGCGCGGCGAATGCAATTAGTTAGAGAAATGAAACTGTTACATCTATAGTGTTGCGGAGCATTCTGTACGAACTACGCTATAGACGCCTTCCCCGGACTTGCATGCAAGCATGACACCGTCACCAAATGCCCCTGACCCTGACACGTCTGAGATCTATTCGACATGGACATTTTATATACGCATGCAAAGCTATGGATTTCCCCCTCCTCTTCTAATAAACATAAAATACGTTGTAACCTAAGCCTAGACCATAGTAATACCGTCACCAATAAATTCTGTGTTGGAAATTGTTGCATTTAGAGCGCAATAGAAAACCAGGCTTTCGCTTACTTGTGGTGAAGCGAAAAGCGGTAGGGGCCGGTTTGAAAGTAACACGTCGCTATCTCTGCGACCGTGCATATCATTTAAGTTTTCCACATAATTTTCTAAACATTTTCTTTTGTTCTATCTATCTGTTGGTATTTTTTACAATGTCGACTAATAGTTTAATCCTATTTAAACATTGATACAACAAACACAGAGCAATTTGCGTAAATTGTCGGCATCTAATTCCACTACCGGTATTTTGATCTTGTCATGTTTGATCAAGATTGCGTTAGCCTTGACGGAGTCTTTGCCATTTCTTAAATTGCCTCTGCACATGAGACTTGTTTACATAATGTAAACATCTTTAAGAACTATTCTACGGAGGCTATTCATTTTACTAAATAAAAAACAACTCTGTTGATTTATGTATGTGTGTGTAATTGTCTTGTGACAGTCAAACATGCATTGTAATAAATTTTTCTTATATTAGGCCTTATAATAGTGACATATTTATTAATAGTTTCTTACACAGAAAAATAACACTGGCCATATGTTAAATATTTTATGTTCACTAACATTTATAATTCTAAAAACAAAACTATGCCACATATGGCTGCCAAAAGACGTAAACAGGTAAAATATAATACGGGTGATTGATGAATTTTTGGTGTGTGCACGGGGGCTTAAAATAACTTTGCTGATGTAATTCAGTTATTCTTTTTCCTTGTTTAAACTGACAACTGACTGATTTGCCGTCAGCAAAGTACAACAAACCCAGACGTGGAGGACTAGGAATGGTGCATACAGAAGCATCAATGTGTGTAGTGTGTGTATTGAGTATGTAGTGTGTACACTCACCCTCGTAATTGACCTGTCCGTCGCCGTCGATGTCAGCCTCGCGGATCATCTCGTCGACCTCCTCGTCCGTGAGCTTTTCACCGAGGTTGGTCATCACGTGGCGCAACTCGGCGGCCGAGATGAACCCGTTGCCGTCCTTGTCGAAGACGCGGAACGCCTCGCGGATCTCCTCCTCGCTGTCAGTGTCCTTCATCTTGCGCGCCATCATCGTCAGGAACTCGGGGAAGTCTATCGTGCCGTTACCTGGAAACCGACAAATACACAGCTTTAGTACATGCTATTGAACGATACGATATGAGCGTGATTTATATATACATATAGTAAAAGGCGGTTGCTAATATCTAGCGAATTTTATACATTTTTCATACATGTCTTTTTTAGACATTAGTTTATTTCAATAGTCAATTATGTTACAATGTAACCACATACAAAGACGATAACAAAGAAAAAACATTAAATCCTCTAGGCATTGTGTAACAAAAGTATGTTGTAATAAATCGTAAGATTCACGGCTCACAAACAGTGACATGTGTGCGGTCGAAATTTTCCAGGTGCGAGCAACGCTTCCCAGAATAATGGACGCCTTCAAAAGAAGCGGCGTGTTTACATCAGCTTCAAAGACGAGACGCCGACAAGAGCACTGACATTTATAGCTACACCGCATAGCACCCCGCCCCCCAGCCCCCCTTGTCCCTGCCGTGTCTATTGTAACCTATAAACCAGCTATCTTTTGTCAAAACTTTATGTCATTTTAAGGACTTGTAACAATTGCTAACTAATGTACACTAAATCCAAAGTATTGGTCAACCGAGTAACTCCAACATATGTTAGACTAATTTTACACAGTTGAAGGTATATTTTATCAAAAAATCACAGCACAAGGTTACCTAGATTCTGATTTGATAGTGGCAATTCTAGTAAATACAATCACTATACTTGAATTTGTTCATTCTCAATGAAGCAAAAACAATAAATAATGAAATACAATGACGTTAAATCGATTGGCTCCGGCGCACGCACACGATTGTGAAACAGTTCGATGCATAACTCAACATCGTAATCAGAACAACTTATTTCATATTCAGATTCTCCAAGATAGAAAAATTATGTAAATAACATTTCACTTTTTCGATGATGTCAACAAATTGCAAATTGCTTACCGTTGTTATTGTATTTTGATATTACTCATCTTTTAAGCAAAACAATTCATAACAGTTATTTCTATAATCGTACATCTAAATTGATTGGGTATATGACATCGGCAGGACAGATCAAAGGTCGGGCAGTTTACCTACCGTGGACAAACACTAGTGGAGCCTTGTACAGATGAGGCGTAAACGCGTAAACAATGATTCACAACAATATGCAGCGCTCCAAATTAATTTTCCGCAAACACAGGCAACGGCCCAAAACCGTAAAATGTTACGAACCAGCGCTATCGTGTCACCGGCTAAAAGATTTACGCCTCCTCTTAAACGTTTTATTGTTGCTATTAATTCAATGTCGCCTTATTTTAGTAAAATAACTTGTACTTTATATTAATATATATCTTTCGCTACACTTTAACAAACTATACCATAATTTCATTGCAAAAAGTTGATCTTTGTTTAGCTGTTTAACGGTCAACAAAAGAAAAAGTTCGTAAAAACGCACTTTATACCAAATTAAGATCAAAGTACGACAAGAGATCAATTTAGCATCTGTTGTAGGAGCTTCCTCGTCGAGATATGATATAGAGGTGAACGCACCTCGGATGCGATGCAAAAATAAGTGCGGGTTAAGTTTGTCGGATCTAAATCGGGCGCAACCTTTCGCAGCCGCTATTTATACGTGCGCGGTCGGCGCTGGGCTGGCCCAATTGCCACCGTTGACCACCTGGGTACTGCCACTACATCTGCCAGACCTCGTATATGCCCTATTGTTAGACACAAATTGTCAACAAGATTAAGTAAGTGACGCTTAAGATTCAAATTGTTAATGACAATTTTCGTGGCAAAATGGTCCTGATAACAATACTCGTGTGTATTCTTAAAGCACCATTTCACAAAACCAATGTTTATTTGTTCAAGTTTGTTTGAAATGTAATAAATCATAGTCGTTACAAGGAGTCATTCAAACACATCACACACGCATTTTACGTTATGCGCCTTGAACCCAGAGCGAGAACGTCTCGATACTTTTTACTTTTGCACACTGCGGCATCGGGCGTCGATCCGACTGTGAATAAAAACCAATTAAGATTCCTGGCAACAAATCGTTCACAAATAGTCAAATTTTAAATCCAAAACAAATTTAATTAACCGAATCGTTTTAAATTACAAACGATAGAAAAAATAAAAACTAGTTAGCGATTTCCACTCTCACTTTTACATAGATTTCAAGGAACCAGTTTTATTCTAGTCACTAGGTATGACACAAAGCAGTGAATAATGAAACTGGTTCGCTGGTTCTTAATCGATTACTTCTCAGTAGAGCTTCAAAAGGCCTCTAATAATACTCTCGAGCCGCCGAATTAAGTGCGGTAATAATAGCATCGCGTCATGCAAACCGGCAGTTAGTTAGCTTGTGCCGGCTTCTGCACACCTCAGCTGATACAATGTTAAACATTGTTGGCTAAATATAGACAAACTCACATCTCCGCATGCAGTTACTTGTAACAAACTTGACATTTAATACACAAATACACCTTAAACACTTTCATTAAAATCTGTTAATTGACTTAGATAAGAATAGTGGAAATATCGGTTAGACTAGATTATTTATGAAATGTGCTATAATTTGTCGTTGGTGGAATATGATTCACGGGGCATGCCACACGAGTGTGGTAACGACCCGGCGCAGCGGATGAGTTTTGGTTATATGGTATCGGTTGACCCATACCAACGTACGATGAGAAAAATTGCAAACGAATATTGCTTGTAAAGATGCTACAAAACCAAATTAATTACTTTCATAGATTCTAACAAGATTGTTTCGACTGCAAGATGATTGCTTAGTGGTTGAATTTGACGCATTGTAAATATAAATTTTTTTAATGGGGAACTATTTTCATAAAAATATTGTGTAAATAATTTTAGATATAAACTCCATTAATCAGTAATCAAAGTATAAATCTGTTTTGCAAGTTTCGATGTGGGTGCCATGTATAAGTTTATCTGAGTCACAATAAGAGAAGGCCAATCAATTATCACACGGAACGGGGCCTCCTGCGCCTGCGCACAATGACATCATCACACGCTTACTAATTCACATCGAATTCGTTTAATGGTTAAACAATGAAACATACAGATATGACAGATAAAAACTATCATGTTCCTAAAACGTTCAAGTGACATTAGACTGTTTCATCTGCAGTTTGTACTAAGCTTGTCTTAAATTGCTAATAGAACATGACGCCTCTATGTATTTCCGGTGAAGGACATAAATAAAACTCCTTGTCTCGTGGGTCTTTGATGTAATTAGATAGTGACCATGAGGGATCGTGTGTAGACGAAGCCATACAATGAAGGTTGCACGTCACTAGGCTGACTACATACTCGCATCTTTATTTAAATGAAAACCTACATATAATAAACCAATTTCTTTGATCAGTTTGAATATAAAGGGATACAATATACGATTGTGGTCATAAATTAGCTAATTTTATTTGTTAACTATTTGATTGTCATTAGAAAAAACAAACGTTTAAAGGCGTGAAATCAATCAATTTGCACGACGTTAAAATTTACACTTCCTTCTCTAAACAAGGTCTATTAGCATTTAGGTCAATGTTATAAAAACTAAACAAATTGTCTAATTGTTTCCTTTACTATTATATAAAATCTAAGGCTAAAAAGGACAAAAGAGTATTTACTTTATACAATACGATGTAACCTTATGATGGAACAGTGAATAGGAATACTATACTAGCTGTCACACGCGTTTTCGTCCAAGTGGAATTAAAACAAAAGTAGCCTACGCGCTATTACCCACTACAAGGCAGTTCAAATTTCAGCCAAATAGCTTCAGCTGCTTTTGTGTTACGAAGTAACAAGCATCGATACATCCTTCCAGACTTTATTTATAATATTAGTAATATACATGAGGGGCATAATATCCAAATCAACGAACTAGAATATTAGGATCCGAAGTCCGCGTTGCTCGGTAAAGAGTACAAATTACTTGTCAGCGGTCGGAGCGGATATTTACAATCGATCTCAATCGACGCTGCCCGCAATAGACTTGGCGCACGTAAAAACAGACAAAACCCACTCAGTGTACTTTTACGTTGCAACGTTGTTTCTTGAAAACGGGAGAGAAGTTAAAACGAAGTAAGACAAGTTAAATGAAAATAAAAATAAGACTAGTTAAATGAAAATATAATTAGAAAGCAAAAGTAAACAAAAAAAAAGTTTTAGCAATGCATTACAGACGATAAAGTAAATAATTGTGTTGTTTGTACAAACGAAATGGCAGCGCCCACGCGGCGTTACATTGTGCGGACGATATGACGTGACAGCTTGCCAACTCGGTTACTACGAGATAATCTCAAAAACATTGATATCAATCATACCGAGATAATTTTCTTGAACTGGAATTCTTTCAATTTGAACTTGTACACTTTGCTATTTCAAATCTGGGATGCAAATTGTTTCGAACATTAACCCTTGGTTCCGGAGAACAAAATCTCTGTATAAAACGTATCGTCCTCTTTGTCCAGGGATTTTGGTCTCAGAGAATCATAGAACCAACATACACCATTATATTCTGTATTTTCATTGTTATCGGACATTATTTTTTAATTCTAGTTTTGCAGATGTTGAAGGACTAAAGATGTGCTTGCGATTTATAAAACTTCTGTGACCAATAAAATAGGATTCGAACCATGGTCGCAGCGAACATGTACCAAATAAACCAAATGAAGCATGATTATACATAGACTACCGACGTGCACAAACCACCTAGACAAACGCGCTGGCAATCAGCCAGATAAATATGCAAACTCATTTGTATCCAGTACAACACGGCAGCCGCTGTCAACGCCCCGCAAACCTGTTCCCAGCATCAATGTGATTTATTTTCACAATACACCTACATTTAGTTACGACAAAAACGACAACACAAGTTATTCCTAATTGTTACCAAATACCATTCAAATGTCAGACGCGTTGCTATGTACCTAAATAAAACTGCTAAAATTAGATTACCGTAACAGAATTCAAAGCTTCATCTATAATTAATAAATTATGCAGTTTAGGCGATTG